GTCAGGTGGTCTAGAAATAAGCTATATATATATATATATATATATATTCAGATTTATACATGTCTATAGCACAGATGTAAATGATTTTGTGTATATACAAGTGAAATGTACGCGTGTGTGTTTGCGTGAGAAACATACTAATGCGTCAGCCGCGACATAAGCCGCACAGCACATATCACCTTAGCCGCAATTATACAGCCAATATATATCAGAGGCCGTGTGCGCAGCAGACAACCCAGTACAGAACTACACGAAGTGCACCCACACGCCCAACATTAAAACACACGCCCAGCACTGCAACACACGCTCAGTATGGCGTACCCATTCTCGTCGACAAACCCTCCCATCATGTCTTCCTCGCCGCTGTTGCTGTGTGAGACGCTCTGTGCGGTGTTGATGCCTTGTGTCTGCGTGGGCGCGTCCTTGGACACGGGTGCTTTGGACGCGAGCGCATCCATGTCCATCTCTTCGATCACCCCACCGTCTTCATCGTACAGCTGCTCCTGCTGGGGAAGTAGCGGGTGTTAGGTTCCGTATTTGCAGGCACATAGTAAGGCTGTATACATAGTATGACATTACCAAAGAGATAGTACTAAGGAGGTAGTACTAAGGAGGTAGTACTAAGGAGGTAGTACTAAGGAGGTAGTACTAAGGAGTTAGTACTAAGGTGGTAGTACTAAGGTGGTAGTACTAAGGTGGTAGTACTAAGGATTGAGTGCATCATCTGGATGGAGGCGTTAACTACGTAGGTATTCAGCCAAGAGGGATAAATCACGACACCACATTGAATGGGAGTGGAAACTCGATCTTATACATGCCCAAAAAAAATGAACATGAATTGGCTCAGAACAGAGATGCATGTCACGCGAATACAGATGCTACACATTCTCAATACGGCACAGTATGCGCAAAGTCAGGACCACACACCCACACCTGTCATCGAACAATATACACACCTTTTCCGAAGTACTCGCTGGCTCCTTCGCCTTGGCGGCCATCCCGACGTCCTCGTTCACTGAGCTCTCCTCATCTTCATCTGCGGATTCGACACGAAAACACAAGGTATCAGGGCCACTCTCACACCGTGCATGAGAAGACATCCAGGATGTCTGTACCGCGTAGGCTTCGACTTCTAATCAAGCTTACACAAAAGGACTCCTAATCAAGCTTACAAAAAACCAAAGCATCGAATCTATCGCATAGAATGTACATGTGACCTACCAACTTCCTCAGTTTCCGTGGCACTCCCATCGCCGTCGTTTTCCACCACCTCCTCTTCACTGTCACCCTGGGCATGCGTTGGATAAGACGATGAAATGAATACACGAACAGCCTCTCCAACGGCCGGCACGCGGAATGCTTCATATACACAACGAACGATTGGGCATTCACCCATGTGCGAGGGCTTCGGCATTCAATCATTGTCTTGTACACAATAATTGCCTGGTGCTACTGTGGTTGGCGTACCATATATAGCAAACTAGATAAAGGGTCATGCACAAGAGAGGGGTGAAGGGGTGATCGATTCCAATGTAGTTGTACCGAAAAATGAACTTTAACGTGTTGCAGACAGAAAGGAGACACAAGTGCACCATGCGTCGCACCAGCCGTGGCCAGCAGTGACGAGCATCACATGGTATATGCAGACTATCCCATAGACTCAACCCCTACCAAAACCTACCAAAACAATGTATGTCTACAAACTACACCAGAACACAGGAGCACATACATCTTCATCGCCATCGTAGTCCAAATCACTTTCCTCCTCGCCCGCTTCAGGCATCTCCTCGTCGTCCTGGAAGTCACCCATATAGTCTTCGTTCCGCATCCCGTTTCTGTGTGGTTGCAGAGAGTTTTAGGTCAGTAACTCGCGCCTCTAGACCACATCACTGCTCATTCAAAGTTATCACTCGCCAGGGCAGACTCAACCGAGGTAACTCAGCTATCTATGTACCCGCATCATTCCAGTCACAACGCTTCTATATCGAACTACAATACAATACAAACAAACAAACAACCATATGTTCGCATCTTTCAAGCTAAAGCAGTTAATAATTTCATATTAAACCACTGTACAAACAAACCAGAACAAGCTATCATGCCTTGATTGGGCCGCCATGGCCAACAGATGCTTTTTGAGCGCCCTACGTTTGCCGCCAATATCAAACTTCTTCTCGGGCGTGGGAGTCTCTTCTTTGCCCGTAGAGGCAATGACCAATTCAGACGTGATGTTGAAAGGCACGCTGAACTTCTGTACGAGTGTAGGGGAGAAGGAAAACAGAAGTAATACTCAGTACGTATCAACATGCATGGGGACGTTGGGGTCACTAATTAGACACGCGTGCTGAGTGAACTGGTGTGTAATTAAGGCTCTGTCCGAGCGAGTGATGCTACAATCAGCTCAGGCGTGACGGTGGAGGTGGAGGGCAGGCTGAACTTCTGTGCGCGTGTATGAATTGAAAAAGTCTCGAATCGCCCCCCCCCCCCAGACCTCAGAAAGTCACCTTCGCTCATAAAGCACGTGTTGTGTGCGTATTTATACAGGCACACCACCCACAAACTTCGACCGAGTATGCTTCAGTGACCCCATACCGGTTGTAGCCGCGCGCGAGGTATCTTCTTCTTGGCAGCTTTCATGAGCAGTAGCTCAATCTCTTCTCCAGCTTCCACTTCTAGTGTCTCGGTTGTCGCCGTTTCGATGACTGCGCTCATGCCTGTAGGGCGATGGTGGGATTGCGTATGCAAAAGGTACAATGAGGATACACACGACTAGCATGCGGGGCTGTCAAACACTGCTTTTAACCTTTTAACCTTTTAACTTTGTAGAACAATGATAAAATGCGCAAGTACACGGGCGACACAGTCAAGGTATGCACTGATAGACTACTGGTGAATGGATACTGAAAAGACTACTGCTAAATATATACGGAAAAGGGTATGATTGTCCAATACTTCCTCAACAGCTATACACACTTCACCCTTTTCCGCTAATGAGAGACAACGAACCTGTATTAAAAGCACCACCCACAATAGTAATATAGGCGGTATTGTAGCGTTGGCGCCTCATCGACCGGTTTATAGTGGAACATGCGTTCCTTCCTATGTGGCCGAGCACATACGTTACACACGGTTACACTACACAATCAGTGCTATTATACGGAATGCAAATACAGCTCCGGAGTCAGAATTTTAGTTTGGTTGAACATAAATGTCAAACCTTCTCAAAACATAAGGTATCGAGTAGACTCGATCAATAGCACATCGCGCTCAATTAAGCACACAATGTACCGCATACAAATCATAAATGGTTAAGTACACCATCGCAACACACATACTCTTAGAAGTGCCACCCTTCCCAAATAGACTCAGCAGATGGCTTTTGTGCTTGGGCTGAAATTTGCGGAAACCGTCCTCAGGAACGCCCCTGTCAAGGCTCTGTGCGTCATTGGCCACAGATGCATTTGCTTGTTTATTTTCCCTTTTAGCTCTGAGGCGCTCCAGTAACGAGCCAAACCCCTTTGCGGTGTTTGCCACCATGTCCAGACTGCCCGAGGCTGTATGTGCCAGGGTTGGGAAGGACGTTTGAGCAAGAGAATGTAATACATGTCGAGCTTTCGAGCTTGCGTTTGCGTAGGTGCGTGTGTGAGCCGAAAATTGTACAGATACTAATAAAACTAAAAAGTGTATGCGTACTCGAAGACAAGCTGTGTATATGATCTGTATATACAAAACAGTGCTACCTACAGTGTTGCACTATATGCAAACTTTAACCGAAGTCCACGACGTACATCCATCTGTGTGCGAGACACAACGGCCTCATGGTGTACTTACTCCGAATCATTCGTTGGTGGTCTCTTGCCAGCTGGTTTTGATCGACCTTAATACGGGCCTACGCACAAGAAAGGGAGTGTGTTATACTTGAGGCAATATGGCGGATACGACAATACCAACGCACGCAGTGAGCATATACCTCCAAACATATGCACGGGTAAACCACGGTTATACGGTGATATGTATGTGCGCAGAGAGCATATAGCCCGGAAGCCTATGTGTGGGTTGAATAAGATAGAAAACTCATAATCATACACAGCGACGACATGACATGCACCACAACACAAATGATGGTGGCTAGCATATACGTACAATAGAACGAATGGCATTTATATATATATATTGATGTGTCTATATTTGATGAAAATATTGAATTGGATGTTGGATTGATATGATCTCAAGGCACGAGCAACATATATCAAGTACGTCTGAGCGCAAAGCACGACTCCATTGTTGGTATACATCTGTTACATCGATCGCCTATTCAAACCGAGTCAAGCACCTAGGTTGAACAGCTGCTAAATGCGTAAAGAATTGCGCATACACACATACACATACAGGCAATAGGGAAGGGCACACATAAAGTAGTATGAAGAGATCTGTTACAGGGTATCACAAATATTAGTTATGAAATCAAACCGAGAACACACTCACAAACTTATGCAGGTACGCTGTCAGACCACCACATATACGCATATGAAAACGGTTTGTAATGTACGAATCTGACGGAACATACCTGCTGGACACTCGGTAGTGGTTCATCCTGGCGGAGATAACATGATATGCAAAAGGAAACTGGGTTAGTTCGAAGGGTATTGTAGATTCATGGCGCTATCGCAACCGTTAACGCGTGTGTGCACAATAGGCAGTCGAATGTGTTATTGACTGCCGTCAGTGTTGCACCAGTTTAGCGCAGTAAAACCCCTCGAGAGGAGAACCTACAGTCATTGGCAAACCCAGACCATTATGACAGTGTAAGCCAACTCCCCATTTGGACATTTCGCCGTAAGAAAGCGAACATAACAGAACTCACGGAGATATGGCCGTTACCACTCCACAGGCATGTAGATCTACTGCGAATACTAGAGCATACCGAGCCATTACAACTAACAGCACCTCAAGTCACCAGACACTTCGCCATAAACTTAAGTTCGAAACGAGAATTGAGGCATGTATGTGCATGTACAAGACGCGTGTTTCTATCGTGTGGGGTCTTTGAGTTGGATGCATGGTACGTGCACACGTGCATGCGTTTTGGGCTTACAGTACACCAGGTGATATGTGCACTGTATGGTTTAAGTGTGATGTTCATATACTGAGTATGCTGTACACTAGAAGTGACCCCTTATGTGACATGAGCTCAAACAACATATAGACGTGTGACTAATCATTTCCCTCGCATACGCGTACGCATACTATCCAAACACGTGCGTGTGTGTGTGTGCGAACATAAACTCACCTCGCTGCTACTCCCCCCAAACAACCCATCTTCAAGCCCCTTATTGAACGCACTATCATTGGCAAACTCTCTCTTCTTCTGTGTTGCCTTCCCTTCCGCACCTGCGGCCACACTCTCCTTATCACCCTCCTCTGCACTACTACTACCTGCTGGTACGGCAGTCCCATTCGCCATATCTCCCGCATCCGAGTCGCTTGCATCCGTCGATGTTTTCCGTGTACTCTTCGAGGCTTTGGTACGCGTGTTCTTGGACCTTCGCCTGTGCGAGTCTATCTTACTCGCACTCACACTCGCGCGTGTGTCACCGCTAGACTCCCTGGCATGGCTGGCCTCATCGCCACTCACCTCCCCATCGCTTACATTTGGTGCACCTTTCCCCCTCGCACTCTCCTTCGATGATCTTGTTTCACCACCTTGGTCTTTCGTGTCATCTGCTTCACTGTCCACTGGTGTGCTGTGCGACGTTCCCTTGACCTTAGCTGTGGCCGATTGGGTAGGTTCGTCGTCGTCTTCGCCATCACTGGTAAAGTAGCCACTGGCATCAGTCTTCGCAGATGTCTTTGAACCGACACCTTCGTTCGGTTTGCTCGTATCCTTATTCATATCCATATCAACTGCCTTCCCATCCACACTCGTGGGTCTCATATCGTGGTTCTCAGCACTACTCACGTTTGGCTTCGTACCACTCGGCGATTTGTCCTCACCCTGATTGCCTTCCTCAAATACACTATCCTCCATCTTATCTGGTGTGTCTGTGTTCTTCATCTCAACATCTTTCACTTTCTCACCGTTCAGGTCATCAGCTGCATCGTCTCCATCGTTCTCTGCGCGACTCTGCACTGGGTTGACCTGCATATCCTCATCTTCATCTTCATCTTCATCTTCACCTTCATCTTCGGAACTCTCTCCCGCAATCTCAGCCATAGTATTAGTCACAGCTGTAACAGGCTGCTTGCCGCTTGAACCAGTTAAATTCTCAGATTTGCTACTACCACCACTAGTGAGCTTCACATTCTCTGCGTCTCTTTCGTTCATATTATCATCCTCATCCTCGTCCTCGGAACTATCGTCGTGTATCGCCTTCTCCCCGCCGTTGGTTGCATTCACTACAGACGTACTGCCCTTCCTCTCCTCTGCAATAGACACAGCCTCTACAGATATGGTCTCCACTAACACTTTATCCGATACATCCAAACTATAAATAGGGTCCTCTATTATGGCCGAGTCTGACTGTGTGTCTTCTTTCTCTTGCATATCAGGTGAGATACCGCTATTGACCTCAACCATAGGCACAACACCCTCATCAGAATCCTTTTCATCCTCTTCTTCCTCATCCTCGTCGTCATCGTCTTCAGCCGAGTCTTCCTGATCGTCGTCCATGGGCGTACAGCGGTTGAATACGCCATTGTCTACATCGTTCCCTGGAATTATTCGGGTGCTAGATGTATCATTTGTAGTGCCGAGTGGATCGTTTGTATCCTGTTTGCCGCTCACTCTGTTTTGCACTTGAGGAGCGTTGGCAGTGTTTATATTTTCGTCACCCATAGTAAGTAGTTTGTACGTCGAGTCTCTCGTGGGGACCATATATATATATATATTTATATAGTTATATATATATATATCTAGATAAATTTATATATTTTCTACACCCGCACACCTAAAATTGTTGAACACCTATTTGAACCATATCCTGCTTATCTGCGATACAAATATCTAAGCTCGACCGTCAGGATATGTACGAAGCTAGTTCGAACAATGCATTCATGTTCTTTATGACACAAAGATATATATATATCCACTCGTTTTCAGTCACTTTTACTATCGAAGCCATCTATCTATACACCTCAAAGCATCAAATCCGTCCTCAAACCATATTTTTTAATTATTACATATTTTTGGACTACAAAATTTGTATTCAGAGCCTCAGCGACAACTCTCAGGCAGCTTGTGAGATTTAGGATCCCGCCCAATTTGAGCGGGCTTAGTGCATCGCATTGATTGGTTGCCCGAATGATGAGGATTAGTGATATTTTTGTTTTTAATGAGGAAAAAAACAACTGAAGCCCACTTATTTCCAGATATTTTTAACTGTGGTTAATAGTTCACGACATCATCCTGTTTTGTTGTATGTTTTTAATAAACGAAAACATTTAGAAATATATATTTGCATGTCCCGGGCTCCTGGCTACACCAAAAGAGTTTTGGTCTTCGCTCTCTGTTGTGTATTTAGTGTTCGTGAGATTTTCTGTATGTACCAAATATTTGCATACAAGTTTTGGTTTGTTTTGTGAAAAAACCCGTATAGAGAGTTTCATGGTGCACTCTGAGAAAACCCATATAAATATCAAAAATTGAGGTTTCAAATCAAATTTAAAAAACATAGTTTTTAGCTATAGAGGTTTTTGTACCATGACCTCTACTATTTTGATTTTTGCGAAGGGCCAATGATGTTCTACTTATCAATATATCTATGGCAAATTGTTTTTATGTTTGGGGGTTTGAAGAAAAGCCGATTCTTTCCTCTCTCCTTCTCTTCTTTTGTGTGTGTGATTGTGTGCATATTTGACATCAACCTTCTCGCCGCTTGACAGATTAAAAGAAGACAGACGGCATACGAGTAGGTGTCAACGACGCTTATGATTACATATCTGTAACTGTACCACTCACGGGTACACCGTCTATGTCAAATGCGAGTACACACCAAATAGTTGTATTATTTTACCTCTAGTACATGGCGGTAGTGGCACAGACCTAGTTCATTGTAGTTTTGTGAGGTTTGTTGCGCTATAACCATGTCGCATACCAATTCATCCAGTTACTTTCGGCCCAAAAATCCGAACGAGGCAGATCCGTTTGCTTCCTTTACTTCTCAAAATGGACAAAGTAATAGCAATAGCAGTTACCCACAGACTGCAAATAGCATGTTCGCACCCGCATCTGCACCCGCGGCTACAGCGAACACTAGCAGCTATGATACTAGTGATAACGCGGGAGGGGTAGGTTATCCTGTGTACAACAGTGTCCTCAATAACACTAGCAGTATGTTTGGGTCAACCAGTACCAATGTCAGTAGTGATTCCACCATGGTACAGCAACCAGACCATAGCGTAGCACAACAACAACAACAAACACCACCACCACCACCACCACAACAGACAACACAAACACAACCCATCAACCCATCACCATCAATACAACGGAAGGGCATGAACTTAAGAGCAGCGATGCAACGCAATACATCCACGCCCACAGGTCCAGTACTACAGGGCCCGCCCAAAGCGTCCCCTACGGACAGTTGGCATCAGCTACCCCCCTCCGCTCCCAAACCCCAATCTCCTGCAAAAAAATCTACATCAGTTAACACACATGCATCCAATTTTGTGTATGGCGGTATGAGTGAGAACGCAGATGGCACACTGCCCAATGTATTTGTGCCCCAACAATCGCAGTACATGCAGCAGACACAAGCACAGCCACAGACGGCACAAGGTATGTTCGGTGGCCCACCACCTGTCAGTAATCCAAATTCATTCTCAGCGCAAGAAAATATTTATAACCAGACCAGTGTTATGGGTACAGGGAGTGGATCCTTTTTTCAGGCCTCGCATACAGGTGTTACACCGGCAGTTACAAACAATAGTATCAGCATGCTCGGTAATGCAGGTGCGGGTAGCGGAAATGCCAGTGGTGATGTTGGAGGATCATTCTTCGATAGCTTCAGTAAACAACTACCTGCAAGTGTAGTTAACAGGGAAACTGATAGCCCCACGGATACGAGTATTGGCGGGGACAATATACTAAACAGTAGCAGCCCCGATCAAACGAGTATGCAAGGGCACATGGGTAATCGGGAACCAGCGATCAGTCAGGCACCATTATCGGCGGATTACTCGAGACCAGAGGCGGTTGCAGGTGGACACCCGGCTACGTCGGAAGCGACGCCGGAGAAGGATAGTGGAAGTGTGCATGATGGAGGCGGGGATATGAATAGACATTTGAGTATGCAATCCGTAGATACAGTCTTTAGTGATGACGGGGATGATGATGATGATGACGACGATGATAGCGATGAAATGACAGCTGTCGTTGGGAAAAGCCCGATGATGCCGTTTATGCAACCTAGTACACCTACTGAAGCCGTTAGAAGCATTGGTGAGACCAATGTTGCCGACAACGAGAATAGGACGACAAATCAGGAGTCTAGCACACCAAACGCCCCTCATTTTGACTCGACCAAAGTCGTGGCACCGCCAGCGCCTATCGCTGCAAACCTTTTTAGCTCGGGTGCCCCTGCAGCGTCCGCTCAGGGAGATTTAGCCCAGGACATATCTCGCAGCTCAGGCTCTATAACAGAGAACAACCCGTCTGCAGCATCAATATTCCGGACATCTGGACCTCCACCACCGATGGCGTCGGGAGGGCTTTTTAATAGCGAAGTAGCCACTGACTATTCCGACTCACAAGCAGCAGAAGAAGAGTTAACGAGTGCATCTCCAGCCGCAGACGTGTGCCGGGAGACTAGCCGACAGTCCACAGCAACAAGCATGGAGAGTACACCATCAGATACACAGGCAACAGCCTCAGCTGAGTCGATGTTCAATACACCCAGTGCGGGTGCGTACTTCACCTCGGCGCCCCCACCGTTTGCCACAGATCCTCAACAATCGCAGTACGACGCGCCCTCCATCGGTCAACCCGCCCCGAATCAACCTGCGTACAATATCGGACAATTAGGCGCAAATCAGTCGCAAGAGACTAGTCGGCAAACTTCGGATGCGAGCATGGGTTCACATGCACCTACCGCTTCTTCTATGTTTGGTGTGTCCCCACCGCCTATGGCAAGCGCTGTCTTTGCTTCTGGGCCATCTGGGGCGGTACCAGAATCAGAATTAGAACAAACAGGTACCGATAACAGCGCGTTTAATTACAGCCAATCAGAACAGGCCAATGTTCAGAATGCGGAATTAATTGGAGACAGCTTGCGTGAAAACCCAAATCCAGAGAAAAGTGTGGCTACACAGGCTTCGACCACCAACCTCGCCGAAAATCAATCGTTGCAAGCAGATTTGGGGACCGAGAACCAGCCTGACACTGGATCGACAGTCAGTGAACCGAGTTCACCAATGCCAATGTTTGGAGCTCCTCCAACCGCGAACGCACACGACTCTTCCGGCAGTGCACCCCCTGCCGCCCTGAATACGTGTGATCTGTCCAATGGACAGGCTGAAGCGTCTGTAGGTACAACAAATCCTTCGCCACCACCGGTGACTGCGCAAAGTTTTCCGCCTACTGCGGATACTGCACTCAGCACAGACCAGCCCTCGGACGTGCCTGAGCCACCTCAACCGCCATCTACAGTGCATGCGCAACCAGATTCTGCACACACTGCCGTAGAAGACAACGTATCCTTAACAGATACGCATCACCCAACAGCCTCGGGGTTATTTGGAGCGCCTCCATCGAACGGGGACAGTGGGGGATTGTTCTCAGGTGCACATCCACCTGTGTCCGAACCAGTAGCCCAACAACCCGCTGTACAGGAGCAGGCGTGGCCAATCGCAACAAGTGAGTCACCTGCTGAACAACACCCAATATCAGCATCACACATGTTCAGCGCGGGCCAATCTACAGGCACGAGCGGCATGTTGATTTCCGGTACCAATTCCGGTACCACTTTCGGTGCATCACCAATGGGTCCTCCCCCCACGCAACCAGAAACCAGTGGAACGCAATCACACCCTGCCGATACTAGCAGCAGAGACCACAATCAGTTTTCGGCGTCGCATATGTTCAGCACGCAACCCTCACCTTCAGCCAGTGCTTTCTTCACACCCGGCCCTCCCCCAGTACCCAGCCAGTCGACCCAGCCAGACACACTAGCCACGGCTCCACACTTAGAAACCGTAGGCAACATATTTACCCCGACATCACCGGCGCAAGGATCTGCCATACAAGCCCCTTCTATGTCGGGATACTTTAATCCTGGCGCACCCCCAGTGGGTATGCCCACGGAGCAGGGCGAACAGGCGGCGGCGTATGCGGATGTCAAGCCTACTGCGTCAGTGGACATGTCATTGTTTGGTTCGCAGAACAGTGCAGCACCTCCGGTAGATGTCCAATATGGGCAACCGCAAGCGCCAGCGACAGCAGCGTCTGAGCCTGTGGGCATACAGCCGTCAGCCCCGCCCATGTCTGAGATGCAAATGCAACCTCCGTTAATGGCGAGTGGTGGTAGCTACGAGAACTCTCCCCAGGCACCTGACAACGCGACACCGCAAGCGACGCTCTCAGGTACAGCGTTCGGTGCGCAACCCCCGCCCACGGCGAATGCGTTGTTTGCGCAAGATAGTTCCCTGTCCAATGCCCAAGCTCCACCCGCTCAGGATATGGCAACTGAGGGTACAGAACCAAAGGACCAACCGGCTGAGACGGCTGATCGGCAAGCTCCTGCTATCAGTACAAGCCACCCATCAGCCGCAATGATGTTTGGTGCCCCGCCTCCGCCGACCGTGGGTGGGTTCTTCAACCCTACAATGCCGGCAGGTAACGCTATAAATAGGACAGAAGAGACGGCCTCGGCTCCACCTCCCATGGCTGGTGGGTACTTCAATCCCGATGCTTCAACTGTTGGGACGTACACGGATAGTGTTGCTGCCGCACCACCAGTAGAAGTAACAGATATGCCAGAGCCCAGTCAAACGGGCGTGCCCGGCTTGCCGTCATTAGCACAGGTACAAGCATTCAAGCAACCGCAAGAGTCGTCCGAAACCAATGCACAGGCTGATGGCGCGTTTGAACACAGCGCGCCTGTGACCGACAGCAGTACTGCCAACTACGAGGGTTTCTTTGGGAACGGCACAGAGGGGGGCAATCAGCAGGCCGGTGAGGCTACCGAGCCAACTATTATCAACAACGTCACCCGATCACAGTCAACAGACTTTGTGCCTGCGAGCCTCATGGTGGCCGGTGTATCGCGTACCGGCTCTGTAGTTGGGCAAGATGTCGATACCAACTCAGACAAGTTGGATGCAAATAAGGCACCGGGCGCTGGTACTATACCACGTTCTACGGAACTTACACAGACTGGTGTGTCGCCTGCAACATATCCTCCACCCACACTACAGCACGAGCACGAACACGACTCCGCAAGGGGCTACGGCTACGGCACCGCCACACTCACCAGCAGCGTGCACGAGTTCAACAGCGGTGACCGAGACACACAGAGTGGGGGTGGCGTGGTGGACAGTACCACAGACGCACGCAGCAACGCGCCATCGATGTATGTGTCAGACACTACGGCGCGCAGGACCATTGGCAGGCCCGCGGTGCCGTTTGTGTCGTTCGGGTTTGGTGGGAGCGTGGCTGTAGTGAATGGGCGGGATGCGCAGGTGAAGGTTTCCTCCGTCGGGTCAATCACCGCCCAAACTAAATACTACCAAGCGCTGGCCACGTTTCCAGGTAAGCGGTTGTGTATATTGTGCGTGTGCCTTCTCACACCCAGTATCTGCGCAGATCAAGTGGTTCCATGAGATTCTTTCTTCATATTTCGAAGCGCTTGGGTGCTATGTATAAGCTATGGCTGAGTTTTTAAAAAATAATTAGGTATTGTGTCGCTGATTTGTCCGCTTTTCTACCTCAGGCCCTCTACTACCCAACACCGATCCGACCGCCGTGTTACACTTCCTGCAGCAGAAGTCCAACGAAGCGTATCCCGACAATCTCATCTACGACTTCCTTGCGTTCCTGGTTAAGAACAAAGGCATGGGCACCCAAGCCGACAACGGCGGTCGCACAATGAGCCAAGACCTGGTGGATCTGTTGATCACCACGGACGATGAATCGGCCTTCATCGGCGTCAAGCAGAGCCAATCAGAAGCGCTAGATCAGATCGGTAGGTATTTTCGTGCTACTCACTGAGGTGCTGATGCCGAGTGTGTCTCGATTTGGTCTACGTGTGCCGGCGCGTGGGAACATTTAGCCGGTTCTCTGTAATTCGCAAAGTTAGATCAGTGTACGTTGTTGAATGCGAAATGGAATTAGACACGCTAGCGCCTTGGTATGCACTAGGATGTGTTGATGTACTCAACCCCAATACGGATTGTTGGATTTATGATACGAGCGTATATCTACACCAGCATGTCGATGTGGCTGTACATACTGATTGGAAGCCGATACATTTCCAGATAGTGCGCGCATATCTTTCGGCTTATAGTCACCCCTGTTCTGATTGCGAGTGCGTGACACTGGAAACATGAGTTTTATCTGTGGCGTCAAAGCAATGGCAGTATGCACTCGGGCCGCGCGGCGTTTCTGTTGACGTGTGGTGGGCAATAATTCGGTAGGTGTAAATCCATTGGCAATAGCAAGTATGTAAAGTATGTACCGGCTACTGCACGGCACTGACTGATGTACTTTGCTGGGCCACATTATCCTTTGAAATTATTGCAGGCTTGCAGTCTTCGAAGAGGAAGCAGAATACGGTCGCTCGTAACACAGCCATGCTGAAGCAAATCACGCAGCTAATGACTGAAGGCAAACAGCAAGACGCAGGTACGTACAGCTGTTTAAGCAGGGACAGTGGGCTTGTTGCTGCGGACTGTGGATGAAGCCAGAATTGTGTCGATTTGAATATGCATTACTCCTTTGCAGTTGCAATGTCTGTTCGGGAAAGCAGACGCAATGCACAATGCACAGTATCTGCCAGAACACTTGCACTTTTTTTATGTGTTCGTATATCTTAGTGCGGCAATGAGATGCGTGTATATCTCTGGGCGTCATTGGATCGCAGTATAGTGAATCTTAGCATAGGATATTGATAATATATATAAATATATCTATATTGCGTATATGTTCCTGCAGAATGTGTGTAGTTTTTGTCCGTTGACGTATCCATGTTCGACGATTGTATGGCTTCTCAGTGCTTCTCTGTACAATGAAGGCAATTGCTTTCGTGCTGGCCATGCTCTTGCACTGTGACGTACTTGCCTCGCATTGAAGTCTCTCTGTAGCACCATCCTTCACCCGCAACTACAACACTTTCCCATGTACATACACCAAACCGAGTCAACTAAGACATACCGTTTGGCGGCTTCTATCTCGCTTCAGTGGTGTTGGCTGTAGACGAGGGCATGTGGGCGTGTGCGCTGGCCATGTCGTCGCATGTGGACGCGCTGGTGTTCCATCGCGTGCTGTTGCGCTATGCCATCGCCGAGTTCCCGCCGCGTCATCCCATGCTCATGCTGTTTGTGCAGTACTGCGAGGGGGTGCTGGGTGACGAAGCGACGGAGTTTGCTGGCCAGAACAGCCAGGGCAGCGCTCCAGAGACCCACTCGGCCCACCACAGGCACACGGGCAGCTGTGATGGCATGGCCAGCGGCGCCAGTGCACGTGGTAGAATGTCAGGCGATCACAACGACAACACCAGCAGCGACGACACCAGCGGCTGGCGGGAGAATCTGTGCATGCTACTGTCCAATCGGGACAGCGCGGATGGCAACAACGCGAAGAATATCCTGCGGCTGGGTGATCGTCTGTTGGATTCGGGCCATATCCACGGTGCCCATGTCTGGTGGGTTTGCACGTTCGTGTGGGTGTATCTGTGCCTATTCCGTGGCTTTGCTACTTCGTGCTGCGTCTGTACAGTGCTGTGCCCTGCGTAGGTACTTGGTGTATCCCATTGGGAGTCTCTGTGTGGTGCGCTTGTTGTCTTGCTGTAAGCACTCACCCCCGTGCATGTTTTTTAAGTGCACATGAACCCCATACAATCATTTAAGTACACATGTCTATTTACATCGTGATTACGTGGGCTTGTATGCATGGTTAGGATAATCTATTTTTAACATCCGGTCTGCGTGTTCTCACATATATCGCCAAGAGAGTCTAGATCTGTGCATATCAATACCCTTAAGGTCTATGCATATCAATACCTTTATGTGTAGTAGTCCTTTGCTGACTCCACTGCTTTTGCCACAGTTTCATGTGTGCTGGAGAGGAGCCTGCTGTCTTGATGCCGGGTGCTAGATTCACACTGATTGGAAAGAGCTTCCATGACGGTGACCTGCACTTTCCCGACTGCAACATTCAGGTGAGTGCGCTTCTGCACTTGTTTTTAGCATAGGATATGTAGACACCCACATCCGTGTGCACAAGATCATGCGCGAATGTGAAGTCGGTTGAAGTGTTTAGTTCGAATACATCATGCGTGTATCTGGGAGGCGGAGACCTTTAGAGTAGTTGATTGGGATGTACCGAACCTCTCTAATCTCGGTTGTACTTCGGGACAAATGTAGTGTGGCTTACACCAGATTGAGCTGCGAAACGCAGAAGCACCTGCCAGGTTAAGCGCTCAGCCTCAACACCATGCGAACCGCCCACCAAAATTAGGATATGATGTGTTCGATAGGGTCTGGCACAGATTAGTTACAGTTGCTGGCAGTTCGGTATTGAAAAAGGATCAGTGCGTGCACACCTACACTACAAAACGTGCAGCTTGCGGTACAAACCCACAATCGTACAGTCCCCACGCGCGTTGCTGACACTAACCTGTCAATCTCTTTCCGCACTGTCTGTCGCTTGTATAGCTTACGGAAATGTACGAGTACGCGAACGCGTTAAGGAATCCACGCTTCACGCTACCGGCTCTGCAGCCCTTCAAATTAGTGCACGCTGCAAGAATCGCCGATATGGGCTTCGTGGACCAGGCCGTTGGGTAGGTCGAGTAATTCAAGTATTGGACAGATAAATATATCTATACATTATTATTATTATTATTATTATACTTATTTAATATATATATATATATATATATATATATATATATATAATATATATATAGTATATTATATATATATATATATAGTATATATATATATATATATGTATGTGTATGTGTGTATGTAAATGTATATGTAAACGTATATATATATATATATATATATAGGGAGAGTATCTTGTATATATATAGAGTATCTTGTATATACCATCATTGAATACTGGTGGCAATGATGTTCTTTCGGCCTCTCGATCTCCTCTAGGATGTAATAATTGGGTGTGAGTTGAGGGCGTCTCAGTGCTGTTGTGCGATGTGATTTTTTTGTGGGCAACTATGGTACGTGTGTTGATTGGTAGGGAGATTCTCTAAGAAAACTTCGCAATTTGACTTTTAGCCTGTACGCCTCCTTGTACCGCAATACTGGATGGTTCGTCTCCGTAGAGAAACTCGGGGCAAGTGTATACGTTGCATAACTTCCAAACCCTAAATATCCTGAATTAGGTTCTCAGGCTAAGTCAATCCTTATATCTGCTTATCTCTGGACCACAACCCTACACCCTAAACCCTAACCGTCCTTTAAACCCTCACAGACCCAGCGAAGCAATTGCAAAGCCCGCACAGTGGTTCCGCAAGATGGCGAGCGGTGTGGAGAAGCTCAATGCCTTCATGACCACCACCCTCGACGACACCGACAGACCCAAAGGCACCACAGCCGCTGCAGTCTCAGAGATGCGTGCCGCTAGCAGCAGTTATAGCAGCAGCCAGATACAAGACCAGGCTGATTTAGTACGACCCCAACCAATGTACGACCCCAACGCACCCCCGCCGCCGTTTATCCCGGTGCAGAATCACGCCACCGCCACACCGCAC